CAGTGAGAATAAACATAAATGTATTAATACAATAATAACGTTAATTACTGAGAATGTTTATTTTTGCGCTGATATGGCGTAGAAAATTAAATTATTTTATGTTCTAATTATATGATGAAAGAGATTAATATATAGAGACCTAAACCACAAAAGTATATAATATGTGAGCAAAAGTAATGTATGTGTAAGTTCCTGAAATAATTGATTGCCACAATTATGCGTCATAACAATTATGATCATAAAAAGCGGCACTGCATGTTTATCGCAAAATGGAAAGGGAAGAAATGCCGCAAATCGTTCTATTCCTCTTCCTCTTTCTCTGTGCTTTCACCTCGCTTTTTACGTAGATGAGACAATATACGACCACAGCCCGAAACTCTTTATGGTATTCATTTTATTTATATAGTTCGTATAAGGACCGGAGAACTACCTTAAGAATGTATGGGTGACCAGAACTAATCAATCAAATCTTAACGAATTGTATATGAAATAGGGGTAGAAAAGACTGAAGAATATAATAAAATTAAAAGTAGCCCAATATTTCAAAATTTGCAAAAGTAATAGCAACCACGGACATTTCTAAAAAAATAAAAAAAAGAACTCCTTTACCGATCATCGCAAAATTCAATACCAACCTTCCTTGAACGATACTCTACCGATTAAAAAAAAAACAGCCCGATATCTCAATATTTGCCGAAGTTAGAGCAATCACGGACATCAAATCTGCACATATATACATACATACATACATACATACGGACATGCGATTTTAATGCAATATTTCGACATTTTAGAACACTGAACATATTGGCATTAAAAACTCAAAAAACAATTTTTACTTCGGTCTTTTCTACCCCTATTTTATATATAATTCTTTTAAATTCGGTTGACTAGACCCAACTTTATACGCAATCAGAAGTTCATATATACGAAATTCACGAAAACAAAGCTTCCTCTATGAGGAAGCAAAAAAGAAAAAAAGATGCGGTAAATGCGGCTCGGAAATTCGGGATTCCCCGCGCAACTTTATACAGACATTTAAAAAAATATATAAAAGACTCAAATACAAGAATTACATAAACTACAGCCCGTCTGATTTGAGAGGGGCTGTAAAAACCGTGAAGAAAGAAAAAAAGGCGCTCGAGGCAGCCCCCAGAAAAAAACTTCAAATTCGTAGTATATATGTATAAACATTTCGAAAAATATCCGAAGTAGATTGGAAAAATCAACTGGAAAGGTAAAGTTAGACAAGAACTGACAACAAACAAATTATTTGAAAAAGAAGAAA